TTCATCTGCCATATTTCTAGACATTTTCAAATCTTCCTACATACCCCAAATCCTACATCCCAACAGTGATCCCAACTCCAAATTTCAGGATTCGAGCTCCATGGGTTCTCTCTCATAAACTTAACTCTTACCAAATTTAGTAAACATAACAAAGTTCTTCCAAAACTACAAACATATCTCAATTCTTCAATCCGGTCGTATTTATTTCAGATTGTACCAAATATAGTACCATATAGTACTTTTCGTACACAAATTCAAAACTACCTACAGATTCCAATCCTACACTCTGACGGTAATGTTAATTACATGATTCCAGTTCCATTTATTCCTTTAAAATACAAATTGTACCAAATTTAGTACTGTATCATTACCTTTCGTATACATGAGTACACCCTACCTTCTTGTGTCGATCCAACTTCTCAAAATTATTTTGCATTTCAACTGTATAGCTTTAGTACTTTTCTGATACCTTTAGTTCGAATTTCAAAAAGAAACCCCTTTAGTAATTTATAAGTTCTAACTGCACTGGTTCGCCAAATACAAATGGTACCATTTTTAGTACTTTTTAGAACTTTTCGTACATCTTCGATCTAAGACTAACCCTCAGCCAAAATTTTAAGATTCTAGCTTTAGCCGTTTCGTCTTGGCGTTGACGAATTGTTCATCCACAGAATATTATCGTCATCGAAGTAAAGAAACGTACATAAAATAACCGAAGTTAGATTCATCGATCACAAGAAGTCTCTGTTGTACATATTAAAAAAAAATAGAATAATACCGTCCGGTATTTCTCAATAAATTTATACACATATAGAAGAACATAGGAAATTTAAATATTTTCGAATATAATACAAGGAGATTTGTTCGATTCTCGAAGATGGATTCTCAAAAAAATGTAGAAATACCATAATGTTCTCTCCTTTAAATTAAAAGAATTTAAAATTTTGTAATATAACGGATTTTTTTTTTTTTTTTTGTAAAATATCACAGTAAAGTATTTAGTCGCGGCTGTCGAAAAATTTCATATATAATTGAAATGTTCAATACAGACCTGGAACTGATTTATTTTATGCCCAACATTTAACATTTTAAAATTAGAACTATCCAAATTCATGTCGATGTATTCATAATCGTACACAATTTCCACAAATATTACCACGAAGAAAGAAGTAATAAATTATGCCAACAATCGTTTATCCAACCAATTCATTCAACAGACCGACCAGCCATCGTCGTCATCATCAACTTCATCAGCCATCCATCCATCCATTGGTATAAAATACAAAGAATTTAGAATAACCAACCATTGGTTGAAAAGCGTGAGTTGGAGAGACGAGGTTAAGACATAGCAACTTTAAGCCAGAACAACGTAGCGGCAGCAGAGACAACAACATGCAATATTAAGCCACACAACACACACTGACACACTCACATACGACGTTACAAGTGATTACTCAACAACCGTCTCTGCAATGTGAGCAAGCTTTGGCTGACGGTGTTGTTGTCGTTGTTGTTCTTTTTGTTGTCCGTTGCGATTTGTTCTTTCTTTTCAATGAATGACACACACCAGCCAAAACGATTGCCCCACACCTCCACACACACACACACACACACAAACTCGCTCAATAAACCATCTGCTCCCCATGCACCACCGGACGGGCAATCTAACCGACAGAACAAACAACCGTTCAACGGTTGTTTTCAAACAAAGAAGAAATTGAAATATCCACCGGCGGTTGGTGTCTCTGTGTGCGTGTGTGTGAGGTGACTTTGTATTTGTTGTTTGTGTATCATCGTTGTCGACTTGAGATAACTTCCAACTTGAGCCAGACAAAATTTCACTTTTACCGAAAATGTGGGTTGCAACCATTTGGTTTGAAGCGATTGCTGCGACCCCTTCTTCGTCGATGTCTTGGCGCTTTAATGGATGGGTCTGATAACAAACCATCCAACACCACAGCAGAAGAAAGAAAGAAGACGTCCGACGAAAGCGGCAGATATTTTGAAATCTAGAAAAATACATTAACGATAAACAAAAAAAGTATAAAAACCATAGAACGAGATAAAGTGGGTGAACAGTGGTTTTTGTGAAAAAAGCTTGGTCGGGGCTTACTAAAGAATATGAAAAAGGGTATTCTCATGAGAAATCTGAAACTGATAGATATGAATGGTATTATCATAAGTTCTTAATAATAATATCCGGCTTCTCAAAGAAGGCCGGAATAAGGTCTTGTCGTATTATAAAAATACAATTTTCTGTTAGAAATCCCGTAAAATCATTCAAATAGATCGTAGCTGCTAAAAAATTCTAAAAAATATAAGTGTGGGGGAGTAACAGTATGAAACGACTGAAAAGACAAGTAAAAAGTACGAGTCGGTGTAGCCGACAGACATATACCCTCAGCATATGTTTTGTGGAGTACTTTGGAATTACACGCAGGTTTTATTTTTCGCTTTATTTAAGGTATATGCTTTTACAAGATTATGAACTATTGACCAGAAGGAGAGACCGACGGGTCCCACCTTCGAACATTATCAAGACTTGGTAAAGATAAGAAGTTGTGCAATGTTTGGCTCAAATCGGATTGCAAAATCGGACATTCCTTTCGACAAATACTGAATTTATAATATAGACAATTTTTACCATCTGTGGGATAGGTACCATAAGGAGTGGACCAATGGGTCCTATCTTCGGACTTCATCTAGGTTTGATAAACATAAATCCTTGTGCAAAGTTTCTTTCAAATCGGACATGTCATTCGCCTGATATTGGATTTATAAATATTGAAAATGTTGACCCTTTTTTGAGGGGATGTATGGGGGAGGTACCAGAAGGAGTGGACAAATGGGACACATCTTCAGACTTAATCCAGGATTAGTAATGATAAAAGGTTGTACACAGTTTAGATAGTTCATTAATATGATATTATTAAATTAATTTTTTGCGCAATTTTGACATTTTGTGGGGGTGGTACCAGATTTGTTTTGTTTGTGCAAAGTTTGGATGAATTCAGTTACTGCCTGTTCACACCAACCGGCCAGACATTTGTAAATCGACTCCAAATTATCAAAAAGGATTTGGTCCAAAGAAACATGGGATCTAAAACCTGTATTTCTACAAGAATCATTTTTACCGGTTATACCCGGTTCCACGGATCCGGTTTCTAAGGCCAATATATTTTAATAAAAATTATACCCATTTTATATTAACCAGATCCGTGGAACCGGGAACACGTACCCGAACTTCCAGGTCAAATGACCGGGTACGTCTCCCCAAAAAAATATATCCCCATAATTAGGGTAAAAATACCTCTGGAAAGAAAATTCAGAAAAATCTGATCGTTTTTTTTTTATTAAACTGGGGTTGTTTCGAAATTTTTTTACACGACGTGATTTCGGAATGATTACAAACATTTCCAAAATAACTAAAATCGGCCTATGTCAAAACAAACATTTTATACAACTTATGTCGAAATCTTATAAACCCCATTCGCCCAATTTTACTCATTATGCACAATCCAAGCATTGAGTTTTAATTAAGACTCTTTTTCGATATAAACCACTGTCACCTATAAAACAAATACAAACGCCCCCTTTTATTTTCTTAATATTGACTGTAATCTGTTTATATTAGTGTTGTATTGGCTGTTGTTGTTGTTGCAGCTGCTGGTGTGGAGAATGTGTTTTGTTTGTTTTTTATTCATTGACCTACAGAAACATCTCTCACAGCCAAACACACACTCTCACACCAATCTCTCTGTCTGGCCACATGGAAAATAAATTGGTTCAAACTTGTTGCCATCGAACCGCCGACGACAACTTTCTCGCCAACACAACTGCCAGCCATGTGCCCAGCTGAAAAAAACGTATTAACGTCACTGCATACAGATACGTGTTGCTGCAACGTGACCACAACGCTACGCTAAGAACTCAAACCGTGTTGGCCAAAGTGAAAGAGCTGACGGCGAGAAAGCTTTTCTATTCAATTGCGTTTTGGCTGTCTAAGCTAACGGTTGTCTTGAAAACCTAACAACGGATAAAATAAAAAACCCAAACTAACTGAAAACAGAAATTTGTACGCCTGTACGAATTTATGTGTACGTGAATAATAAATAAAATAAAAGAAAAATTATATGAACAACAAGAAGAAAAAGAAACAATTTAATTTGAAGTAACTGAGTTTTGCATGTAATAAAACCGCAGATCAACTCAATACTGAACCGCTAAGTGAGTCGAACGTGTAACGTACAATAATAAATACCTTATATGGACGTTAATGGACTAGAGAGTAGAAGTCTAGAACTAGTACGGACTACCGTCACACAAAGAACATTTGTTTTTCGTGGAATCATCAGCATTATCGCCACCAGTCTCATTATTCTAGACGAAGTGCAGTTGAGTGTTCGGCGTGAATTGTGAATTGATAAAACGTAAAAGCCTAAAACGTAAATCTTGGCCAAGAATTCTTGGTAAAAAAATGGAATCATCCTCATCAAAATATAACAAAAATAAATAAAACAAACAAAAACAAAAACCACAAATATTGTTAACATTTTGAAGCAAGTGAAAGAAGAGAAAAAAGATTATTGGAAACAAAAAAACAAGAGAAGAGAAGAATTGAACAAAAGAATTGCAAACTTATCATCAAAGCAGCAAATTTTGAAACAAAGTGCAAAGAACTTTAGAAAATGTGACAATTGAAATAATAATAATAAAAAAATAATTGAAACACAAACAACAAGAAAATATTTGAATAAACAAATCTCAGTTGAATGGACTCACTGACTGACTGCAACAAAATAAATTTCTCTCAAAACAAAACAACAAAACGGCAATGCGCAATTAATTGAATACCAAAATCAGAAAATAATAAACAAATTAAATTGCCTAAAAACAACTAATACATTTGTACAAAAAGTGTCTGTATTTATGAGTGTACCTATGTGTGTAATATTGAAAACAATTACAAAATCTGAACAACGGCGTATTTTCTTAGCAGATAATTGAATTCTAAAATGTCGATTGTCTGCACTTTGGAGCAAAAAGTGAATTTATTTAAAGGTCCTGTGGCTACCAAAAATTTACTTATTTTAAAGAATAACATTAACAACAATCCAACAACAACCACAACAACAAGTTCTGCAAATACCAACATTACATCAGCTGCAGCAACATTGCCCACTGGCAAATTATTAACGGATATTAAAACACCAGCAGCAGCAACATCTCAATCATCGGTGACAAATTTTAAAGAAAAATGTACGTAAATATTGAATTGAATTGAAGAAAAAATCAATGTTTAAAAAACCATTACAAAGCCATAGAAAGTGTTTTTGGGTGAAAATTGTGTGGCGAGAAATTTCAATTTACTAGAGATTTCCACAAAGATCTCAAAGTTTGAAGAAATTTGAAGTTGTAATTAGGGTCGAGAATTTTTGGGTTTCTTAGGAAAAATCTAAAAAATGTGATCGAATTTAAATCTTGTGGGAAATTCTGAGAATTTTTTTACCTAAGGCCATGAATTTCTGGGTCTCTTAGGGAAAATCTAACCAAAAAAATGTGAAAAAATTACTCGAATTTGGGGGAAATTCTGAGTATTTTCTTGCTAAGGTCAATACGGCATTTTTAAATAAAGATTTTAATCATAATTTCAATATTTAAAAAATTTTTGATTTTTTATAAAATTGTGGATTCCAGATTGATAGAAAATATAACGATTTTAGATTTTATAAGTAAAAAATGTTAGAAAAATATAAACTTGTTTTTAGTTAAAGTATTGTTTTTTTATAAAAAAAATTCGATTACATATTAGGCCCATTTATTTATTTTCCCCTGTTTTTTGCAAATTAGTGTAATTTATACAACAAGCCCACTAAATGTAACCATTACTCATCATTCCCATAATAACAAAAAAAAAATTGTTTTGTTTAAGGGGATAGTGTATTTTTTTATATATAAACAAATTATCGGTCTCCAAGTATTATTTACGAGTGTATTTTGCTCTTCTTCTCTTTTTCGCTTGTTGTCAAGTACAGGCCTTGACAAAGTTCAAGTAGTGGAGCAAAAAAAAACTATAGCCATTTGTTGAGTTAGGACATGAACACACTTGTTGTGAGTATGTGTGTGTGAATATTTTACAGCCGGTTACACAGCTTGCAATTTTCTTTTTCTCTTCTTTTTTGCATTTGTTTTTATTGTTGTTTTGTTTTCCTACTGATAACATTATTGTTTATTTGTTTACAACAACAAATACAATGAAAGACAACAACAAAACATTAATTACATTATTTACAATGGTGTTGGCATTAACATTTTGCAATGTTCAGTTTTTTTTTTTGCTTTTTGTGGCGTTTACTTTTTGATAAGAACAATAAATATATTTTATAATGATTTTTGTTTTGTTTTTTTTACAAAGATAATACTAAAAATAGATTTTGTTATAATTTTAAGCTATGGAGAAAGGATTTGATTTTATATATAAATTTTGTAAATTATACAAAACAATATCAAGGCATAAACAATACACAAATTTGGAATGAAAAATATAGGACAAATTATTTTAATTTCCTTAAAACATTTTTTTTTTAATTTCAAATCTAAAAATAATTGTTTGCTCCGAAAAATTGCATTTGTGGGTTTTGTGTGTTCATTTTTAAAATATAACAAAAAATGTGCAAATGAAAAAATATTGTTTGTACCACTGTGGTAAGAGACATTTTAAGAGAGCACTAAATTGATAGAATTACTTTGATAGAGCCCACACTTCTATTATATTGCTATTTGCACTCAGTAAAATAGAGAGAAATCGGCGAAAACAAAAAACATAAACAAAGCAATGTGATTAAGTTTATGCAGGGTTGGGGAATTAGAATTTTCCAAACTATGAAAGTCTTAAGTAACTTTACGCCAATCAAATATTTTCTATTACGAATAATAATATTAATTATTTTTTCTCACACACAATAATCTCTAAAAAATATTTATTTTAAAATTGTATTCCAAAATCAATTTTGACCTCAAGTTGAGCAATACAAAAATTAATAAATTTGAAAATAAAATCAAAATTAAGAAAAAATGATTAATTCCAACAGTCACACAATCAAATGACACTTGATTGCACATTGCTTCTATAAAAAGACCCGGACTAAATGGATTGCATCATTTTGTGGTGTTCGACTTGAATTATTTATATATAATTAATTGCGTTGTTTTGTGTGTGATTAATTTACTTATTTCAGAGTTCAGTGCTCTTATAATGCCTAATACGATTTTTAATGAACTTTTTTTTTTTAATTTCTGCACTTAATTTTTTAAAAGCTTGTTTTTTCAAATGGTTTGAATTTTGTTAAATGGCAATATGATAACAAAATGTATTTGTAATTGTTATATTGTCAAACAAAAAATCTATATAAATCACAATAACAATTTAGGTGCTATTTGAGGAAAAATTTTCGGAATAATGAATTGCTTGACGTATTTAATATCAATTAATTGGTCGGTTAAGGAAACTATTTGTTTTTTTATTTACGATCAAATTATTCACAAACTATTTTCCCATCCTATTATAAAAATTTTCTATAAAAACAATCATAATTTTTTCCAAAGAACTCCCAAATAATTATTATTTCCAAAAATTGGCACATTTCCACATAAATAACCCCATTAGCGTATAACTGTTAATATAAAGTATACGCCAAGGATATTCCCTCTTCAAAGTGCCATAATGTATACGCCAACATGTTTTTCTTTGCGAAAATAATTTTCAAAGAATAATCCAGATAATTATAGAGTTGCCTATTATAGCAGTCTTTGTGGTTTCACAAAACAATGTAAATGACCGGGAAGTTCTAGAATTACTAATATATGTAATAATAACTTGTGGATATTATAAACACAATAATCTTCTATATTCAAGAGAAATATAACGCCATAGTTGCAAACAAAATAATAATTTCCATTTCTTTCGCTTTTCTTTCATTTTAGCTTTGATTTCATCAGCACCCAGTCATCATCTGATTAAGGGTCAGGATTTTAAAAATCGTTTAACTGTAACACCCACCACGGAATTGTTACAGTTTCACCAACAACAGCATCAGCAGCAACAACAACAACTTTTATTAACGGCTACCGCAAATATGCCCGAAGTATTGCAAGCCGCAGCTGCCAACAGTTTGACCGGCAACTCCACAAAATATCACAGCAATTCAACACAAGGTCTGGTTACACCAGCCACTGCAGCAGCCATGGTGCGTATGTCTACCATGTCACCCACACTCTCAATGAACGGCAGTTCCAATGAGGCCACAAATGGTAGGTCCAACTATACAACCCTGTATTTTGAACAGAAAAAATAATATTCTCTTTTATTTCATCTTTTCAGTTCACAGCCTATCCATGTACAACGGTCCTGTTAGCCCCCAATCCAGTGATTCGGGCCACAGCATGTCCGACATGCAGCACAACAATTACATGAACTATAATCCCGATTTTACCGGCATGACCAAACAACAGGTCAATGCTGCCAAGGAACTATTCTCACAGCGCAAACAACGGGAATTCACCCCCGACTGCAAGAAAGATGACAGCTATTGGGATCGTCGCCGGCGCAACAATGAAGCCGCCAAACGCAGCCGTGAGAAGCGACGATACAACGACATGGTCTTGGAACAGCGTGTTGTCGAACTGACCAAGGAGAATCATGTTTTAAAAGCCCAATTGGATGCTATCAAGGACAAATTTAATATTCCCGTTGAGAACCTTGTGAGCGTGGAACAAATTCTGGCCTCTTTGCCCACCAGTGAACAGGTATTGAGCACCACCAAACGTTCCAAACTCTCCACACCCGCTTCAAATTTCAACAGCTCTGCCAGCAATGGTATGCATTACGGTACGGCCGGTAACAATATGCCAGCACAAAAATCGTCAGTATCATCTGTTGATGGCCTCAGTTCCTCCGGCAATGACAAATTGACGGCCCAAAGTGTTATCAAGCCAAATGGAGCAGTAACAGCAACCGGTGTTTCTCCCCTACATCATTTACCCTCTACAATTAACACAGCCGGCGTAGGCCATCAGTCCAATCTTAATGGAAACAGCATACAAGCCACACAGGCCCTATATGTGCCGGCTTCAACAGCTCCAGCTGTTTATGTTCCCGCCAACTTAAACGAAAGCCTAACGTCCAATACACCTTCCCACCAACACCATTCAGTGGTAGCTGCTGCAGCCACCACCACTACCAGCATCGTCCCAACACAACCGCCCACCACAAATCTACAGAATTTACACGTCCTTCAGGCCTTGAATAGGGGTGGCTGCGATTTTGAGAATATTCGCAAGGTTGTGGCAGCGGCAGCTGTTGCCAGCAACGCTGCAGTCGCCGACTTACCGTCCACAGTGAGTGGTTTGTATACCAATCCCCAGGGAGCAGCCGCAGCAGCCATCTATGCCGGAGCCACACAGCATGTCCACAATCCCTTGTACACAAAATTCGCCAAGGATGAACATAGCTACTTGCCGGCCACAATGGTGGAGGGCCCCATTGTCAGCTCCAGTGCTGGTGACTCGGTTAGCTCTTCGTCGCCACGGGAAACAGCCAGTGTTTTGAATTTGTCACGCCGAGCCAGTACTCCCACAGCCTACGAGCATATGCTGTCATCCACCACCCCAACCTCATCGCGTTTGTCATCATCGATGTCGTCGGCCTCGTCATCGGGAGCTGTATCCGGTGATGATGATCACGAAGCCGACAATGAAATGGCCGAAGAGACCAATGAGCATCACCTCGCCAGTACCACAACAAGCCCTCACAGTAATGACTCCAACAATTGCTTGCCTCTGAAGCTAAGACACAAATCTCATTTGGGTGATAAGGATGCAGCAGCTACAGCTCTGTTGGCCCTGCAGCATATCAAGCAGGAGCCAATTAGCAATAGGGCTTCACCACCAGCCTGGGCTGATAATTCCGGCGATAATTCAAGTGATGAACGTGACTCGGGCATTTCCATACCCAGTCCCGAATGGACAGCCCAGTTCCAGAGAAAGGATACATGCACGGCCACAGCTGTTGTCACGGTAACGCCATCGGAGAGGGAGCATATACTTAAATCGAAATTGGCACGCTTAGAATCCGAGGTGGCCACTATTAAAAATGATCTATACAGTCGATCGAAATGTTGTACATAAATTGAGAAAAACCAACAACAACAACAAAATGAGACAAAACCAGAGAGAGAAAGAGAATGAGAGATAGAGCGTTTTGAGCGTTTATGTTAAAGTTTTCACATTGAAAAATTGAAATTGAATGGCCCACAGAAAAAAGGGCTACTTTATTTGAAATTCTTGCAAATTTTTTTGGAAATATTTATTTTGTTTAAATACAAGGAGAGAGAGGATAGACAATAATTAGACATGTTAGTAATATAACAAAAATAAAAAAAAACAAAAACCCACAGACGCAAAAAACTAATTGCTATGAATGAAGGAAATATTATAAAGATACTGCAAAACTAAAAAAAATATTTTTTTTATTTTGTTATACGCTTTTTTATAGTTTTGTTGGCAAAACATAACTGTATTCGGTTAATGTTATTAATTTGATGGAGTGACAGGCCAACTCCTGATCTCAATGTTTACTAATGAAAAAGAAAAAACAGAAAACTTGATTTCAAACATTTTTGTACATCATTTCAGACAAACAAACAAACAATGGTATTAACAACATTTCATTACACATACAAATATTATTATAATTATTAATATTATTAGAAAACTTAAATGTTGTTGTAAAATTTTGAATTTTTTATTTGTTATTTGTATTTGGGAATTCCATTAAATTGAAAATGGTACATTCCCTTCTCCTATGTGGAACCATATACAAATATATATACCTACATATATATAATTAGAAATTAATTACAATTAGTTTTGTCATTCTTACGAAAACTAAAAACAGGATTTTATATTGAATCGTAAAAAAAAGAGGAAATAAAATTGTTCTTTATTTTGTCGTAAAAACTCAATTGCACTGTACTACAGTCAAACTGCATATAATTGTGATGTAATCTATGTCCATAACCAATGTAGATTTAATGTGAAGTTTGTAAAAATTACAGTTTTGATTTTTTGAAAATAATGTGAGGTTATGGCTTGTGGAAAATAATCAATATTTTTTGCGAACAATTTAATTGTAATTTATGTTAAATATAACAATTTGCTTACTTAAAGCAACATTAAGATTTACCACAACCTCTTTTGTTGTGGATTACATGACTTGTCTTGTTTTGTAGTACAGTGTGATTCTTTATATAGAAATTATTTATAATGAATGCATTCAATTGTAACCACAGGCATTTTGTGGTTATTTCTCTAATTATAATTATTATGAAATACAAAATACGTTTTTTATTAATTTGATGGAAAAAAACAAACAATTTCCTATTAAAATAATAATTAATTGCAATGTAAATTAAATGTAAAAAAAAAACAATTGAAGAAAGATCTTTACTTATCTCAACATTTTCTTTGTGGTAAACCCAATAAATTATAAGTTATTTTTTTATTTTAGTTTGATAAGAGCAGAAATGTTATAGTTTTTAAGAAATTGAAAGAAAGTTTCCTTATTTAGCATTATGTAAATAAAAAACCTTAAATGTTAAAAGAAAAAACAAATGACTTGTAAATACAAAACAAACAAAAAATACACTATGACAAAACCCCCCAGAGCTAATGGCGAGTATATTTTTTATTAAAAAAGAAAAACAAATAAATCTGCACACACGCATAATTATTATTAAATACAAAAAGAAAAATAAACAAAAAAATAAAACTTAGAAAATTCATAGAAATTTCTTTGGTCCAGTCCCATCCACCCGCATTCCCTCCCTATAAACATAAAAAACAACAAAAATCCAAATATTCCTGTTTTTTGTAAAACAAAAAAATTAAAACAAGGAACCTCTGAAAAGTATTTTATTTGTTCGTTTCTTATATGGATATTTTTATGAAAAATAAAATAAATCTTTATATTTTCTACCAACAAACAACAAAAGAAAAATTCAAAATGAATTAAAAAAATATGTCGCTTCTTTTTAAACATTTTCTTATAGTGTTGTAAATTAGTCTGTAGTAATGTTTTATCAAATGTGGATAACAGAGCAGTAAAATGTTTTAAATGTTATATTTATATTATATAATCAGCAATGTTTTCATTAAAAAAAATATTTAAAAAAATCTTAAAGTCTAATTGTTTTCTTTGGAGAAAGGGGAGAGTGGCTAGGGGTACACTAAATTCGGCTGAGTCGAATTTTTTTATAACTGTTTTCAAGGGAGATTTTAAATCTCATGAAATAAAACAAATGGTCGTTCGATTTGCGTGTTTCTGAACTGCAAAAATACTCTCAAAATGGTTGGATAATTTTGATAGTCGTACAAATATATAAATATTTATGATTTTGAATCTAACGATCATTAACCCGACATGCAAAAGTGAATTCGATTGCCATCGATTATTGTTTACAAATTTTTTGAGTATGACTATTTGAGTCATACATATTTTTCAATTGCGAAGGATTTAATATAACTTTAAAATTTACTGATAATCGGTGTGTGCCAAATTGCATCTCAATTGGATAATACTTGCAACCCGTACTTCGTCATTCGCCCATACCGATCTTTTTATACCCTTCACATTATATTGAGCATTCCGAATTTCTTAAATCGATCGGTACATTTATATGGGGGTTATGTCGTTGAGTTTCCTAGTATGTTGTTTATGACAATTAAATGCCAAATTACTGACACTCATGTTGGTAAACTTGGATAGGAACTTGAACATACCGAAAATTATACAGGGGCTTGGTATGGGGTTCAAAGTATCGAAAATGGGATGGTGCCTTCTCCAATATCGAACATTATCTGTAAATAAATTGTTCACGCCCTATGAAGCCAGAATGCCAAATTACAATTCATACTGGTTCTTCAAAAAGCCGAAAATGTAGCCGGACATTTAATGGATCAATGTCAAACCAAAAATTTTATGAACAGGTTTTCAACCTCCTAGAAACTGAAATTCCAAATTACATCCTCTTCAGGGCGAAAATCTTAAAATACCGAATATTGGACGATTCTGTTATATGGGAGCTATTCAAAAACGTGGACTGGTGTATTCCAAATACCACAGTAATAGTAATTTATATACAAAATGTCAAGGTTCTATCTTAATAATTGCGAGATCTATTGTGATTCAACATACAGACATGGCTTAATCGACATGCCTTTATGGCGTCCGGGTGAATATTTCGAGATGTTTCAAACGTAATAAAAAATGTGGATAATATAAAAGTGTATGGACAGAACATGTGAGATACCATTACAATATCCTCAATTTCACAACGACAATATTTCAAAATCTTAATATGCCGATAAAATGATTCGCTAAGGAAGCCACAGACTTCTATATTTATTCCAAAGAAATTCATTGCACTTTAATTAATATGTGCGGTTTTAAAGTGATACAAATTATAAAATACGTTGTATGAGAAGTATTTAAAAGTATGTCTTCATTGTTATTTAATTATTAAGTTTGTGGATAAAAAGTATGTGGTATATAAAAAATGAAATCCCCCGAGGGCAACTTACACTCCTAGAAACTGATTTGTAGCAAATGCATAAACATTTTCTTTTCTTTGGAAGTAAATAAATAATAATATTTTATTATTTAAACAATTGCTATATTTTTTACAAACATTTAAAGAGCAATAAGAAATAAAACAAAATTGATCTAGAAATTATATCTTAAAATTAGTGTTAGGAATATGAAGGCCATCAATTCGAATAATATATCAAGAGTTATATTAATTGGTTAATAGTTTTGTTTTACACAAGGAATTATAGAATTTTTCCATTCTACATTATAACAAAAAACCATGGAAAATAAAAAATTGCATTGGTTATTAGTGGGATTAGTTTTAAAAAAAGGATTGCTAAGTAGTATCGATTTTTTAAAGTCCTTATTTAGTAGACAGACAAGAATAAATAGATTGTTAACAATTATGGCAAGGCAATTCCCGCCTCGGCAGACTTTTTAGAGATCCAGTAGCACGGGTTTGGTCTCCTTGGCACATTTCAACATTGAACGCATTAGCTTTATGAAACCGGTGTCTTTGGGTTTTTCCAAACCACGTTGTACGCGATTTTTCATAACGGCAATAAATTCACGATTACTCAACTGATTGTCATCTGAAAAGGTAAGCAACATTGAGATTATACAAACACCGATATCAAATGTTTTTCAATACTCACTGTTATCATCAAAAATTGTAAATACCACATCGATGACATGATCTGACAATTCTACCATTGCCACGGTTTTGGCCACATGTTTAAGTGTGGCCTGGTCAATGGAAGCTCCAGCAATGTGATAGAAAGTCAGGGCCGTATCCACATCGTTGATATTGTTGAGGAAATGGAAGAAATCCAAATAGTCCTTTTTCGAAATACCAATACTGTGGTCACGGAAACGTCTCTTGACGCGCTTCAATTTCTTTTGTTTCTTCTTCAAGGGGTAACCAGCATAGGCCAATAGAAGTTCTCCGAAATCTGCCTCGGTTATGCGACCATTTTCATCGGGATGTTTACGCTCAAATTCCAGTGATAGAATTTCACGTTGCAATTGATGTTGGAAATCCAAGAATTTTTGTATAGTCAATTTTTTATCCAAATTTGGTCCAAAGAAGAAGGTGGTTAAGGCTGAATTAACGCCCTTTTGGGATGCATTTGTTTTTTATTGGGAGAATTTTTTTGTATTATTATTTTTTTTTAAATATGTGATCATTAACACTATACACTTAACATTAATGAAAGCATCACACACACACGTACACATAGAATGATTTACAAATGAATGTTTTAAGAAGCATAAACCAAGAAATGCAAAATTATAAATAAAAAATAATAAGCAAGCAAAGAAATGATATGGCGACTAGAACAGATAATTTAATAATGCACACCAGGATAAATGCAAGGAATTTGGATTTCTCCTTTTAGTAGTCAATGTTCGATGAAGTATCGATACTTGTCAAATTTCGGCATTGTTTCCAAATACATTATTTATTTATTTATTTTTTGCCGAAAAATTATAAATATTCTAAAATTAAATTTATTCACTACAGATTAGATCCCATTCAAAATTATAAATGAGTACTACTGATCTTGATATTTCTGTGTATTTCAAACATGCAAACCTTGTGTTAAAAAAAAAGAATTTTGTGTCACTTTTGCATCCCTCCCAGGATCTGAGATTATTATTAAAAACCGAGTTACATCCCCAACATATGTAGTCCATATTTTATTATACAATTACATTGGGTATGTTGATCGGATTTATAGCAACAATCGCATTCCATCGAAGGATATGATAAAACGAACCTGGATAGTCAGGTTATATTTTTCGAAAACTTTCCGCTTGTATTATAAAGTAATTTAAAATATATCTAAAAATATCTACCACCAATAATATAAAATTAAATAACCTGAAGGAATAACGTGTAAAAGGATGAGTGCAATGAGTTCAGTGTCCATATGGATGTGAAGTTATATGTTTAACTAATCTGACTTTTATAATATTAAAATTGCAGAAAAAGGACGAGGAAGTATAGAAGGATTAGAATCTAGCAGGACATGCGCAATGAATTAAAAACGATTGTGTTTGGGATCAGGATTAGTGTTATTTCAGAATAATAGAATGAAAAAGAATTTAAATAGGAAAAATTATTGGCAAACCAAAGGTTTTTCAGTCATCAAGTACCTTAGACTTTTTTTGGCAAATTGACATTTTTTATAAAGAATATTTTACAAAAGAATTTAGAGAGTAAAATTAGAAGATAGTAAACAATTAAATATACAATTAGGATGTTTTGGTTTATCTTGCGTCAAAGGAGATTTTCAAATAAGATTTGATATTGTATTAGCATTATACACAATATATTTATATAGTACATTGTTTACATTTATATAGTATATATTTTAGCAGTGGACGATTAGCTTTGGCACGAGACAAGTTTCACGATTGATTGGGACTTACCTTAAATGTATTGCCAGTATTGGCATGATCACGATGACGGCTACCAATGCTGGTTTGTTGACGCACCAATGTTGCCACCATTTCGAATTCTTCACAGTCAACATCGCCATCACCATTCAAATCGAACATTTGAAAGGCAATTTCAAAATGACGGCGTGATGCTGAAATACCAAAAATAAAAAATAACGATATTAAAAAATAAACAGAAATTATATTTTGTGCTTTATAGGGAAATGTGTCTGTTTATTTATAATTATTCATTTAATTATGTGTAACGGTAAACTAAAAATTGGTTAAAGGTTCGTTTGGAAACCACATTATTATGCGTTATTATTTTCCACCTTCTAACACCCAACTTATCCTTTCTTTTTTAAGTGGCTAAATTTTGATTGAAACTCCTTTTGCTTTCTAGCGAGTTACATTTCATGTTAGAACGTTTAGAAATATGTAATAGAAAATTTGTATTTTTCAAAACTTTTCCGGTGTCTTGGTATCATTCTTTATCTTCCATTCCCCTTTTTTCTTTTTTGTTTAATTTAGTTTCCCTTTAAGGGCTTCACATCCAAATATTTGTTGCTTTCCTTTTTAACGAAAACAAATACAAAATCGTATCTCACAATTTTGCCGGGAAAGTGAATACAAAAACAATAAAGTTAGAGAAGGAGAATCAAAACAAAATTGAAAACTAAAACACCTACACGATGAAAACAGAAGAAGAAGAAAAAAATAATATCACACACACCAAAGCAGCTGAGCAAAACAAAACAAACCGTTCAAATATTCGCTCGTATCAAGCGATAAAAACAAAACTTTGAAAATAAGAAAACAAATTAAATGCTGCCCATTTCTCTACTCCTTCCCATATACTCTACTCTAATGGAGAACGCCTGCGTACTTCAATTTTTTTCTTACTGAACTCTACTCAACACAGACACACTTCGTAGAGCCGATTTAAAGGAGGAATGCAAAAACGCGCCACCACCAACTGGGAAAACTTTGCCAGCAACAAAAATGTTACAGGCCAACAAAACAGTTAACAGTAAACATTCTAACGGTGTAAGGATAACAACGTTGTCGGTCCATCATCCGTAGAAGGCTTCTCTAAAGCCGCACACACACATTCACATAAACATTCAAGAGGGGAAGAAGCAAATAGACAAAACAGCTAACAGGATATACAGAGCTAAAGTGTTTCATAGAAAATAGAAGTGTAAGTGAAAAAATTAAGGCAATAAACTGGAAATCGGCAACAAATAATTAACATTTATTTTCAAAACAAAATATATTGAATATTGAAATTTAATTAATAAAATTGCAATCATTTGCCTGTTGTCATCAGCACTAACAAATCAATTGATATCTAATGGAATTAAAAAAGTCAAGAAATGTGTATGCCTAGCGAAACAAATTTTGTATAAAAGAAATGGGCCTAATGAAATTCATATGTATTTCAACACTCCATAAACTAGTTACACTGATATTTGGGCCCCAGAAATGGACATTCAACAAGGTGTTTTGTTCTTTTCAACATGACGCCCTAGTTTTTTGCCACTTTTGCGTCATCACTGGCATGTGTTGCCAAGTGAAGTAACATTCAGAGTATCAGCACTTAATCGCACGAAGAGACTCCAACCATATTAAAACTATAAACACACGCACACACACACAAACATCCAGCAAATGAACCAATATAGACATGCACACACACACACACAAACACTCATAGGCATGTCCTTTTAGTATAACAGTCTATGCTATGCAAAAATGACAAGCAGATACAGAAGGAGGATGGAAAACATCTCCTTCTCATCCTCCTTACACTTGGCCACACGAAGCAAAATCACTTAAAAATACATTTATTTTATCTCTTAGTGTGGTTGTGTGTGCGTGTGTTTTTACTGGTATTGGTATCTTTTTCTCATATATGTGCGATGAATGCATAAAGGATTTTAAAGGGCGAACAATCTACAAGTGGTAACCTTTGGCACTTTAAAACAAAGAACAAGCCACCGTGTTCAGCAGAAGAGGGCAATGACAATGTACAAGTGAAGGCAAAAATGGAAGAAAAAAATAAAACAACAACAAATGGAAAAAGTGCAACTGTTTTTCCATGCTCATGTTTTGTATTTGTATATATGTATATGTATATGGATGGATGCAAAAAGGCACATCGTACTCGTCACAAATTTACAGTTTGTCAGGCATTCATCATCGGTCTTAAATGTGGTGAGCAAGAGCAGGAGACACATGCACGCATCCACATATATGTAACGATGTCTAAACAATGTTGTTTATCAAAACAAACAAAATGGTTGGTATCTAGGTGGGTGGGTTTTGGTTGGAGGTTGTAGGTTGTAGGGGGACATCAACCAAGTGACGATGAACTGATGTTACTGCGGATATTTAGTTGTAAGTAATGAGATTCATGAGGAAAAGTGTCAAGACCTACAACACAATGTATCACTACATTGTTTTGGGAGGCAATAAACTTGTCTCATAGTCTTGTCTCAAAGGACTCCTCTCAATCATAGTAACATATGGAGAAAACGAAATTCGAGAATATTTATTGTCAAGCCTCTACTAAGGCGTGGATTTTTTAAAGAATACTTTTTCAAAGTCTTGAATAGGCGTGGTGTTTTTAAAGAATATTTTTTCAAAGTCTTGAATAGGTCTAGTGTTTTTAAAGAATATTTTTTCAACTTCTATTAAGTCCTGAAGTTTTACAGAATATTTTTTCAACTTCTATTAAGGCCTGAAGTTTTTAGAGAATATATTTTCAAGCCTCTAATAAGGCCTGAAATTTTAAAGAATATTTTGTCAAGGCTCTACTAAGGCCTGAATTTGTATCTGATTGTTATTAATAGTCAACTTGATAGATTTTTACAAACTTATCCAAACAAAAAGTTGTGCATTACCTCTAATATAATCATTATCGCATAGTCAATGGAAATAGGTTCACGACGCGTGACCTAAAGACAACAATATTGATTAATAAAACATAAAATGTGTTCATTTGTCCATGTCAAAATAAAACCTAATCGTTTAATTGACTTCTCAACTTTCTTTTTTCCATTCCTCTTTCGATAGATAAATATTTTCCTTTCCTTTTAGACATTCGAACCGATTATATATTTTATAATTGTAGTGCCACCTTCATAATCGGCATGAAGCAATATAGCTTCATGCTACATGTTTTTTAATTAACATTTTTCATTTAGCCGAGTTACTACAGCCAAGGGAAAAAAGAATAGTAGTCCTATGGGCCATGTTGTTGGCTTTCGTAACTAGAACTTAATAAAATGTAAACATTTTTTGTTTTTGGTGTGTTTAGAAATGTCACCCTCCACTACCACCTATATTTCATGATGATTAGAAGTCATAAATTATTGTAAAGCGAAATATTTTGGACCAAATCCAACAAAGACTGGTTGCTTATTGCTGGGAAAGCCAAATGGAATTTGAGATTTTGGCCTGTCAAATGTAAACCAGAAAGAAAAAGTAAATATACAGTAAATGAATGAAGGAAGGCAGTGTATTAGAAAATACTAGCAGTGTATTTCAGTTGGGGAAATGATTATTTCGGAATGTAACCTTTTCTACCAAAATATAATACAAGGTCTTTGAATTACATATCAAACAAAAACTAATATTCGGCAGTCACTATTTGTAATAGCCCTTTCAATTTCTTTAAGACATTATAGAATTTCAAAGACATAGAATTTCATTGAATCAAAATTAACTTTATATGTGATTCGAAATTGTTTATGCGTGAAAATTAAAAGTAGTTAAAGAGGAGATTTTGTTTAAAAACTATGTTCGATTACCGGTTATAACAAAATTGGTTAACACACCGCCCATATTTTTAGAATTACGAATAGATTAACAAAATTTAAATACATTAATGTCTACATTTCTAATTTTCAGAGTGGTTAGAAGAAATCCCTAAATTTGTCTTCAATATCCAGTGACAATGATAATACGCCTGTGTTATGGCAGGCGTGTACAGACTTCCCTAAAATTGGTTGCATGCGCTCTTACAGCGCTATTCTATTTTGGATTTCTATTTCGTGAGTCTATGAATGCATTTGAACAGAATAAAGATAAAGCCGAGGCAGCTGCTGTGGCAGCTGGTCTAATACAACCACCAGCCAAGGGGGAGGTAAGTCGAAATGCATTTCTATAAACCGGTTTAGGATCTATGAATAACACTTTTCATCAATATTACAGTTGAAAAATGCTCCTTCATTATTTAAACGCTTTCTCAAGGATGCTTCCCTGAACAATAAGACACACAAAACATTAAGAAATCTTGCCACATCGTCATCATCTGCGGGAAGTTATACAAGTAGCAGTACCCTAAATCCTGTCTATGAATATTCCGAAGAGATACACAGTGCCACCGAAAATGATTTGAGACAGCGACGTCAGCATTTGCAAGAGATTTGTGAAAAATATAATTTATATTCTTTTTACCCACCGATGCCAAAAGAATTCTTCATATCACCGGGTCATAGTTTGGTATGGTGCAATGTCTTTAAGGCGGCCAGCAGTACATGGATGTATTATTTTAATATATTGGGTAAGAGTTTAACATTTAAAATCATGTTGGAAGGTATTAAACGTTTTATATATGTTTGTTTATAATCTTCTAGGAGGATATGATCCCAAATATCTACAAAAAGTTGAAACACCACCCATAGAATTGGCCCGACAACGTTTTCCACGACCCTATCTACAGGATTTGCTCGACAGTTTACCTTCATCGCTGTCATTTCTATTTGCCCGTGACCCGTTTGAACGTATTGTCTCCGGTTATCGCAATAAATTGGAAGGTGGCAAAAATTCGTATTACAAATGGTTAGCCAATCGCATTATCAAACGATTTCGCAAACCGCAAATGTCAGCGCCGAAACCCAAAGGACCCACATTCAATGAATTTGTTCAATATCTTATCGAACAACATGCCAATCAGAAAGCTTTCAATGAACATTGGGCACCAATCTACAACTTCTGTACACCGTGTAGCATCAATTTTACCATAATTGGAAAAGTGGAAACATTTAATCGTGACTCAGAATATATTATACGGCAGGCCGGTTTGGAATCTTTGCTATTGGGTAAATTGCCAAAGAGTGCATTGAAACGCATTGGTAATTTGTCGAAAGGTGCCAAGACATACAACTCATTAGAAAAGTAAGTCGAATATTTGTTAGTTCGCAGTTCAAAATTTTGAATTTCATATTTGTGATCGTTTCAGATACTTTTCCGAAATTAAACGCTCAACCCTAGACCAACTTATCGATATTTATAAATTAGATTTTGAGTTATTCGATTACAATTATACCAAATATTATGACTATGTAATACCCGATGAAGTTGAGACCGAAAGAACGTCATCATCGGTTACCCTGGGACCCAGAAACGAACAGTCATTGTCACACAATTAGATGTATTCAACTCAAAGGAAAACAAAACAAAATGCAATCAAACCAAAAGAAAAAACAAAGAACAAAATTCATATATTCTTCAAAAACAAAACAACCACCCACAACTCCCACCCAAGTACCTCTTTACAAATTTTTGAAAGTACCAAAGCAATCTACACTACGTTTTACGATATTAAGAGAAACCAATGAAATCTAAGCCAAAAAAACCAAATCAATGAAAGTTTTCCAGCTAAAAAATAAAAACAAAATAATATATAGAAAATATTATACATTTAGGATTCAACACCCAAACAACACAAAAAACAAAAACAAAGGCCAAAGACTAATCTTAGTTAGAATATGTGACATAATTTCAAAGAAAACATAAATATTTATACATACACTATATTTTATTGTACTGACTCTCACTCTATATATAAAAATCTTTATTTATACAACAAAAAACCGAAAGTTTTGAATGAAGGGACATATTATTTGTATTATTATTCTATTTGTGTTCAATTAGGTTTGTTTCTTTACTTTAGAAAGGAATGCAGTAAGTAAAAAAGGATATATTTCATAGATTATGTTTATCATGCTTCCTATATATTTATAAATACAAATGTAAATATACAATTTCTAGAAACATTAACACATTAGCATTGACTCTATCTAAACCTGGACCAACTTTTATTATTCAAAAAAATATCGTTTCTACCCCGTCGATACTACTACAAAACATTGTTAACGACAGCACAGAAATATATTCTCATTTAACCTCAGGGATTGTAGAAAAAAATTGTCTTAATTTCAAGTTTCGATAAAAGATGTTAAGGGACTGTTTTTATTTTTTCAATATAATTACTATTATTTTATTTTTGTTTCTTAAATCTTGCTGCTGAAAGTAAAGGAACTTATCTGTTAGCCTCATGTTTCTTTAGTAAAATGTTTATCTCATCAATTGATCTGATTATATTTCTTTTTAAGAGTTGCTATTTTAAATGTAACTGTCGATGTGATGTTAAACAAATGTTCTAAACTTTAAAACCAATATTATTATGATGATTACACTAATTATTATTACCATTAATATAAATATATACTGAAAATGTGTGTTTTTTGTGTATCATATATTCCAAAACATGATGCAAACTATCTCGACAAAAATATTTATATTGTACTTTTATGATATTAATAAAAATAAAACCAATCTAATATTTTTTCTAAGTTTAAAAATTGTGAATTATTGTTAAAAAAAAAAACATATTCTTATACAGTGTTATAACATTGACAAATAAGGATATTTTTCAAATTCTTCGAAGGGTGTAAGGCATTCGTATCAGAAATGTCAAAAAAAATGAAATTCCATGCCATTAATACTACTGACAAATATTTGTATTAACAACTACTACGACCTGACTTACTCGTCTCCAGCCAATGGTATTTTCTATCCGAAACGACCCGAGCCCTAAATAAAGCCCTCGCTGAACATTTATGGTCTAAACTATACGAATCGGAATAATATTCAGGATTTTAGAATATTTGCTGTGGACAATTTACATTGAATGCTTGGGATGATCACTATAAGACAAACAGAGATGGTCCGTCAGAAATAGTGACGTAAATGACATACATTTCCGACGTATAATACATACGTCAGAAACGTCGGAAACCCACCCAAAACCATTCGGTTTTTGACAAAATAACTATTTCCATTAATCAATTTGAAAATTACGTATGCTTTACTCAATCCACATCGAATTTCAAAATTTTCTTCTCCAAAAAGTTCAGAATTTTTTATCAGATCTAGTAAGGAATAGTCAGATATATGTAAAAATAATATATATTCTTGAAAATAACAGTATATGGTAATAATATTGAAATAAATGGCGTTTACTACATTTTATACAGGTATATGACGTTTTCGACGTTAACACCTTTTTGGCAGTCGAAAACCTAAAAATTCGTCACACGGACCATCCCTGAAGACAAATCTTGATTAACTTAAAGGTAGGGAACATTCGAAATACTTAAAATGAGGCGGGACTTTTATATGGAATGTATGTTAAAACAGTTTCTACAAAGAAAACGCTGAATGCCTATTCATAGTGACTTCAGTTGGAAATTGTGAGCTGGGTTCTGATTTTTTGAAAAAAAGGCAGTAAGAAGTAAAGTCGGACTGAGCCGAATATATGATACCCTTCACCACTTTGGGTATATTCTATATAGTCTCCTAACAGATGTCGTCTTTTCGAAAGAACATTGAAATGAAATTGTACGAAATTGACCGATTTCCACGAAACATAGAACACACCATTCTAGACTTAATTTAGTACGCTATGCCACATTAAATCAGACGAAAATATATATGGGAGCTATATCTAAATCTGAACCAATTTCACGTACCTCATTCTAGGTCTAATTCTGAACGCTATGCCAAATTTCGTGCAAATCCATTTACCTTAAATCGGACGAAATTATATATGGAAGGTAAATGTGAACCGATTGTTCCCAATTTCATTAGGGTTCGTCCTTGGGTCAAATAAATGACCTGTGCCAAATTTCATCCAAAACGGATGATAAATGCGACATGTACTTTGTCTACAATTTAACATCAACAGACGGACGGACAGACATGCATAAATCGACTCAGAATGTGATTCTATGCATAATACCCTGTAAGACAGTGTGGTGAAGGGTATAAAAATAAAAAATATATATCTTAAATAGTACAAGATCTTTATATGGATGTCATGTTAAAACATTGACCTATACTGAAACTTTTTTGGGAGAAGGCCTTATATCTCCAAGTATCCGACGAATATTTCAAGGTGAGGCAAATGTAATGACAAATTTAATATACGCAATAAATTATTTTGGGAAGGTATAATTCGACACTACAATAATAAATTATTATTATTTTGATTTTAATTATTTTTTTACTTACTTGACAATACGGTTAGAAGGAATATATAGTCAGAGAATGTAATCAGGCCATATGATCCCAATTTGTAGAATATACTATTCTTTTCCAAATTCAAATTTAGACTTTCACCAACAGACTGAAAAAAATTAAAAATAACAAATATTATTAAATGTCACACAAAAATAGAAAAGTTTCGAACAAGGTAATATACCTTGGTTTCGAACAAGGGTTTCGAATTTTGTTTGTCGAATTTTGCAGTGTAAATAAACATAGACATAATATCCATTAAACGATTTCAAATCTCATTAATTTCAACAAACAATATTCGTTTTTAAAATGATTAGTACAAAAAGAGTATATGTGCACTTTAATGGATAGGAAAATCAATAAATACAAAATTTATGTACAAAGTGGAAGATACCTTTCCGGGGGCTTGCTTTAAGTTAGTTAGTAAGCAGAAAGAGAAAAAGTAGAGGAGTTTAGGAATTTATACTAAAAAAATAATCGATTTAATATCGACAAATACATACCTTGGGATCATAACGGCGGTATTGATCTAAACCCAAACCTGCAAAAAACAAAAGTATATATTAAATTTGTGATTTTTACTAAATGAAAAAATAATATTTATATTTATTATATTTATTATCTAGGTAAACATACCCTCTGGTTGTTTCATACCCGGTGTCATACTTGTTAGAAAATCTACGGGTGTCATAAATATTTCATGACGATCGTCTGACGTTGCCACTTGTATTGTGGCAAAATAACGAAATACCTTATCTGGCGTAGAAAATTGTCGAATACGATTTTCATATTCAACAATCTGTTGGTTTTTTTATTGAAATTGAAGTATAAAAATCAAAAAAGTGGATTTTATATTAGAAAATTTAGCCAAATGCCATTGAAAACAAATTACAAGTATAAAAAAAACGAAAAGATAAGATAATAATAGATTTGAAGATAAATATCAGAATTAAAAACAGATCTAGTGACAGAAATTATAGCAATTAAAAAAGTATAATAGAATGGATTCTCTATCCCTATGTCAATCGTGTGTAAATAAAGAAATGAAAATTACGTCTTATCAATTGAATAATAATTGTTTAAAATTTTCTATTGTATTTAAAATGTTGTAACCAAAGTACAACTTATTTTACTTGTAATAGTTCATTTACATTTGTAATGGATTTCGTTAACCCAATGGGTTTCATTGAATATAGGTCAAATAAATCCTGTTGGTTAACCTCGTAAAGAGTTCTAATGTAGATGCCGTTTCATGTATATTACAGCAAAGTTTCTTCATGTCGACAAAGGTAATAGTTTAAATGTAAAAACTATTAGGTCTATTATAGCATACAAAGTCATTCGTCCACTCCAAAAAGTAAAAGTACACCATTGTAACATAAAAATAACATCTTAAAATAAATAATAAAATCTACCACCAATACAAAATTAAATAAAAATTACCATCAGGTTGTTTCATGCCCGGATAAATGGAACGCAAAAAGTCGTCTGGAGTCATGCAAACTGTAGTTCCTTGCGGCGTTGTTAAACGCACTGTGGCAAAATATCGGAAAATTTTATCTGGTGTAGAAAATTGACGAATGCGATTTTCATATTCAATAATCTTTTAGAACAAAAATGTTTTTGTGTGTATATACGGGTAGATGTTAACAAAAATTACATGAAATAAAAGATTAAAACAGAAAAATTAAAACTAAAAAGTTAAGAAAGGAAAAATACATTTTAATAGAAATGAATAATCCTAATTTACCTTTCTTTCGCGAAAGCCAACTTTTTCTTTTGCCGATCGGGTACTTTTCGTTTTTTCTTCGATTGTATCGTCTTTGCCATTTTCACTTTCTGCATCGCTATCACTATCGCTATCGGATTCGGTAACAGTTTTAGTATCTTTGGCTTTTTTGTCCTTCTTACGGGATTTTTTCTCAACATCGGCGGGTTCAACGCCTGCGTCAGCATCGACTTTTGGCATTATCATACGTTTGAGTCTGAAAACATATGAATTTATGGAAATTTTAAAACATTTTCAAAATAGTATGATCAAATAAAAAAATAAAAATAATAAGAACTAAAATGAGAAACGTTTCATTGCTCTAATATTGAAAAATTATAGGACGAGAAGATGTCTCAAATAGGTAACATAACGGTTTGTCCTTAGAGGATTCTATAAAATTTATATGTTTTTTTAATTACTAAAACGTTGACATACATTGGAAAAATATAAAAAGGCGATTTTGAAGTCATTTGGTAGAATTGATTCCTTTTATTCAACCTTTGGACTTGCTCTGGGATAACTGCCCCACCGGCTTAGCCGGAAAGTAATTCACACAACGGTGAACTTACATAAAATCCCAGAATAATAATCCAATATTCATTAGGACTTTATTTCATTTCTGGAACCACAGAATTTATATTATATCCATATAACACACAAAACTTTCAAAGTTTTTTTTAATATGAATTGAGATGTTGATCGAATTCCAGCTATACTGAATTGTTTCTTGAGAAGTTACATCCCAAATAAAGTCATTCTCTCTTAGCCAGAATCTGCTTTTTTCGATTAGCAATATGTATATAAATTCTACTTACTTCTTGAAATCCGTTATGGAAATCACAAACAGGGTACCAATAATCAAATGGTATACTTTAGTAAACTTAGGTGTAATCTCTTTTTTGTGACCGAAATTTTTGTGGCCGCGTGAATTCATTGGCGTCACATAATCCAATGCAGGAACAGTCACTCTGTTAAAGGCTGCTGGCAACAAGCCAAAGGATCCCCTGGCCACAAGTTGTCGTTGTGGCTGCATTAGCCTTCCAGCCATTGAACCACATTGTCTTAAGATAGACATATTGTTCCAGCAGCTAATTAATATTCCCTCTTAGCAGTACCAAAGATGTGCAAAAACAACTACAATAGAAAAAAATTGGGACACAATACAATCAATAACCATTTTCTTTTTCACTTCTTTTCAGACTTACCCTCGGGTTTTGTGCTGAAATTTATTTACAAATCATTTACCAACGTTTTTACGATGCTTTTTCCAGACTTTGAGCTATTTTTAGCACTTATTCTGACCAAAAATGAATTCTTTTTTCTCGTTTGCCTAGTAAATAAATCTTTTTTCTGCGTACTTCAATGTTAGCTGTCAAATGTCAGGTGTGTTTTTGTTCTACTCTGGTAGTGGACAGTGTTGCCAATAACATATTACAGTGTTTACGGTAGAGCAGTTTTTTAATAAAAAGAAATATATGGTAAGAATAGTAACCTTTATATAATTTTTTTATATCTGACAAATGCAAGCGAAGTACATAGTATATATTTTTTCGATTTATTATATATAAAATAGATAGCATTTTCCATAGCATCGAATAATATTAAGAAAATAATCTCTAAAAACTAATGATATCACAATGTTAGCAACACTTTTACCATATGTGTCTACTTGTTTGACATTTCATTTTTTTTGCCCATAGGGTTGCCAAGTTTAGACTCCCCAAAACTAAAAAGTAATCATTTACAAACTATTTTAATAAGGATTTTATATCATAATTACAATTTAATTGAACTGTAATATTTAGCATTTTATTGTGATACAGTCAATATGTATTGTCTTTTTTAATTTCTGTAGTGAACAAATATAAATTATCAGTTATAAATCTGCTGTGCTATAACGTAATTTGTTTAGGTAGTCAACAGCATTGCCAACAAAGTATATGTTCAGTGTAATTCTTGTATGGCAATTCTTCAAATGTAACACCAAATGCAAAAGGCCGACGTTTAAAATGTAAAAACGGTTTATAATCATATAATAGAATATATGCAGTGTTAATGATGCTTGTTTTAATAAAATGATTTACTTGTATTATCATTGTATTTAAAATATGTCAATTGAATTATGTATTTTTTTTAAATATAGTTTCTTTAAATGTTTCTTCTTGTTTAAACTATTTGTATTATTACTATAAATTAACACAGGTATTTGTATGAAAAAACCACACATTCAATTTATTTATTCTTCGGTTAAGGTTACCAAATAACCATTGTCTTCTCAGCCCAATGTTGTGAAAGCAGATGTTGAGTTTTAAATATGTTAAATTAACAATTTTATAACGGATGTGTATACAGTCCAACATATATAATCATTTAACCATTGTCAAATTATAGCTAATTAAAAAAAATGTGTACATATATACAGTCCATTATTTAACTCTGAGGTTAAAGTCCAACAAAATGTCATAAAATCTCAAGAACTATATAGCCGATTTATTGTGTTAGCATCAAGTGACGGCTAAAGGGCTCTAACCATTGTCAAATTATAGCTAATTAAAAAAAATGTGTACAGTAAAAAGTTGCGTATACAGTCCAAATTATTTAACTCTGAGGTTAAAGCTTGTGTTTAATACGAAGCTAGTAAATATATATTTTTAGATTATATATGTCAAGACCTGACAGTGAACGACGAATATAAAAAGGAAAATTAAAAAACTCAAATTTTTGGTCAAGTTATGCGCTTTTATTGTATAGTTGAGCGTAAAATATGTACAGTACCAATTTGTGTATACAGTCCAAATTATTTAAATAGCTTCGAATTCGAATTGTACCCTCAAAATTATTTTTCATTCTTGTAAAAAACAACATATAGAATAATTTAGTGTTTTTAGTTTTCAGAAAGAAAGTACATAACGTATCTTCCGAATGCAAGGATGTAGTGAAATCAAATTTTGTATTTTTATACCCTCAGTGCTCACGATAACTCTCGAAGGGAGTAATAACACATTTACATGGTACCGGTTACGTTAACCCAGTGGGTTTTAATTCTCAATTCCCTTACATATTTGTCAAATAAATCCTCATAAGGAAGGTTAACCCTACAAAAAATTCTAATGTACATGTCGTTAAACATTGATCATCCATAATTGGTACATTGCAATTTTATCAATTAGATCAAGATCGAAAATAAGGAATATCAGTTCACTTCTTGTAGTACCTCAACCACAAAATAGTCAAAATTCTGCTGAAAATTAATTATATATTATATCATGCGAACGGACTATGGCATTTTTTCCCAATTTTGCGCAACAAAAAATTTTAAGCAAGCCTTTATAATGTTGAAAGATGTGACTTTTCGTTCAATTCTTTGTAGTACCTCCTCACAAAGGGAGTACAGTAATATCAAAATTTTTTATACTAAATATATATATTTCTTATACAGGTTCATCTGCTCCGGCAGGTTCTCCATAAACTTGTACAATTATCAAAAATTATAAATTTAATAAAAAGTGTTTCAAATCGACAATAGACAGTAATTCCGTAGACCTTTGCAAAGCATAGGTTAATGTATATATCTGTCTGGCAGCACCGACCGACACTTATACTTACTGTAATGTTCATGTTCATAAACCCCAATTTAAATTGTCGAATTAAGAAACGGGTATATGAAGGTTTGCCACACCAAACAAAAGGTCGTATCGGCTCAAGTGAATTGTTTGTTCTCATTAAAATTAAGATTAATGATCATCTTTGGTTCTACAATTGGTGGAAAGGGGTTATGATTGTTTCTATTAGACAACACCTTATTTAGTATCTTATTCAAGTGTGAATACATTCATGGTTAATGCCAAGTACTCGTACTTTATCTTTCTTATAATAATGAAAACAGAGTGCGGATTAAAAAAATCTGTGAATCATACAATAGAAAACTTGAAGATCTGTAATAAAAGATTCCAATTTTGTCATAATTTTATTTGAAAAAATTGGAAATTAATAATATGAAGTTTCCAGCCTCTAAAATCTATAAATATAAGTTGTACCATCTTTAACTATATTCTGAGAACAATGTGGATCCATAAATAGAGATAGTTAGTTAGTAGTTACAAAAACGCCTTAGAAAATATAAATGTTTAATTTGTTAAAAAATATGCCAATAGCTATGTGTAATATTTTATGGAAATTATTTTTCATATTGTATAAAATTTATAGATGCGTTATAAATTGAAAGGAGGCCTTGTACACTTATGCCATGATATTAAATTTAAACATATCGCTCATTTGCTGCAAGACCGGCATAAATCAAAAATCGTGATCTTTGAGTTAATAATGCAGAATTGTTCAAACTTCATATTGTGTAAAAAATTCAGATGATTATATCATACACACTCTAATTGAGAAGCTGTAGAAGTTCCTCTGTCCCATATAAAGTGTGAGTAAATTGACAACTTAAAACGCATTTTCTGCAAAATCGATTTTTTGATTTATGACGGTCTTGCAGCAAATGAGCGATATATATGTTCTGAAAACTATATGACTTTCACTTACACATTATTAAATACTTTTCAATACAATAAAATTGACCTCTTATGATATATTATCAAGAAAATGTCATTGTTTAGATTCGTTTTCCCTGCTTTCGCCTTCATTGTGTGGCCTTTATGGAATGTTGCAAGCGCCGCATTAGCGCCATAGTCCATACCTTTCAATAACTTTGGGAAGGGATGCCATAAATGGTCATCTTTCAATTTCAGCCAATAATTCACTGGCAGACAGGTCTCTGCAAACATTTTTGACAATTTCAACATCTATATATGATGACGATGAAGGACATACAAATAAAAAATATGTTGGATTTGTTGTTAACATGTGGACACGCCTCGGTCGCTGAAATGTGGGCTGTGTCTTGATTTCTAGTTATTTATTTTTTCATTTGTTTTAAAGGCATTAAGTGCTGAGCCCAATAACATGTCAGGACAATCATTTCAACTGCAGTCAACATTATTTAATTGCCTTTTAATGTTGAGTGGGAGCAATGATCTCAAATATGTGCACGTCCTATACGACACAATCGACAAAGGCAAAGAAATTGACAGGTGTTTTTGCTATGAAGCCTTAAATTTAATACATTTTAGTTACTAACATTTCTGATTTCAATAATGATTAACATCCCCAATCTTTACTCCTTGACAATTAATGTTTTATCCTATGATTCAAAACATTGCAACTTCTTAAGTTTATTATTGTATTCTTCATATTTATAAACTTTATAAAAATGGAAAAGACTTTCCAAGCGCAAACCAGCAACTAACCCATACTATGACTAATGACAGCAATTACAGCTTAAAACCAACAACAAAACAAATATGGCCAGAATATGCAATAATTGACGGCGCTATAAGAATTCTATGCCATCCAGCCTGCCATGATGCATGGATGGCATAGATAAATTGAAGTACACTTGCCAGCTCCTGTTATGACCAGAACAAGTTTTTTTTTGTGTGCGTACAAATGCACACAAAGAATCTTGGCTATTAAGTAAAAGTTTTACATTGCAGAATTTAGAAAAACAAAAGTTTTTCTTGTGCAAGAACAAAAAATTCTCTGAAAAGCGAAAAGAAAACGTAGTGAAAAAATTAAATGGAATGCTGTCATGAAATTATTTCCATCACAATACATTTATGATTTTATTGAAATTTGGCAAAATTAAGTCTTATTTAAAGTAAGAAGTCATGGTAAATTTGTAAAAGGTAACAGCAAATCCCAGCTGATTTGATTCCAACGTAATACTAGTGTCAATATGAATTTGACAAATTATGTTTTTAAAAATCGCCCAACAGGAAAATTGGGAACGCATGCAATTTGAAATTATTCTTTATTAATGTGCTCCCGTATTCAATTTACTCAATCTGCCTGCTGGGAAAGTTTGAGGAAGCAAATCTTTCTTGAAGGAATAACTCGCTATTCCCAGCATTGTCATATGTGTTACCCATATATATGGCATTGGCTCAATTAAAGGAAAGATGTGGAAGCGATAGAAATATAAATTTGATAGATTTTCATTCATGTTTTTCAATTTTTATTTTGAGGATGCGAAA